AAATACCACCTATCTTATACACTAAATAGGACAACATTTTTCTTAAATTCTGTGAAGGGTATTTAAATGATATTCCAACAGTTCATTACTCCATCCTCTTCCATCTAGTCCACAAGAAGACCTCACGTTAACCACTCAGTTATATCAAGCAATGTCTCTAGTAATAAAGATACTACCTGTTTAATATATCTAAGCTGTTTTATCTTCCTGTCAAAAGCTATTTTCTGCAGTGCCTGAACAGAACAATTACAGAAACGGGAGTTTTACTTTACCGTTTGAAAGCAAATAATAACCTCAACAAATACAGACACAACACATTCAGCAGAATTTTGGAATCTCAGGTCTTTATAGCCCACTGTATCACATCAGCATTACGTACACTTAAAAAAAATTAATGACTTAAACACCTTGCCACGTTAATGAATGATTCTTCACTTCCTGGATAGGAACATGTGAGACTATGCAGCAGAGAGGACCGAAGCATCTTCTAATCTGGTCATACAGATACATGAAGCATACTTATTAGTACCATATGCCTTCCTGAAGATATTTCAGTTTTACTGTTCTGCCTTCATAAACATCACTCTTACCATTCACGTGTAGCTGCCTGCCCAGCCATGAAAATTATTCACTTTTGAAGGTCTACAGACAGCATTACATAAGAATTGTATTTAGATCCTTAAAGTACTGATATTTTAAGATCAATCCACATATTAAAAGCATGAAGAAGCTTTCATTTTAAATAAGGTTGGAAAAAAAACAAAAAAAACACCAAGGTTAGAATCTGGATTTTTCAAGTCTCAGCCTCTCACCGGTCAGCACGTTAGTTTCACTCTGCCTCATTCCATTCCATACAATGAACAAACCCAAGGAAAAATCTCAAGTTTTATTATTAAAAAAACCCACCTTCCTTGAAAAGGCTATTTTCAAGATCAAGAGCTGCTCACTTACTAAATGGGGACAGAACAATAGCATTTCTAGAAGCATTCTACAAGTCTAACACTCAGTTAGGTTTCCTTGAATAGTATTTTAGTAAGGTTTCTTAGAAAATTGAGGTTTCAGCTGTCATACTGACAGTTCCTCTCAGTAATTGACTTTATTGGTGAATAACAACAGAGGTGATAAAACCTAAAATCCGCTGCTCTGCGAAAAAGATGGACAATAGGAAGGGCTGTGCTTGAGGAAAAGATGGGTCCAGCAACAACTTGTTAAGTCTGTCCTACCAGCTGGTCAGTAAGCACTTGGGCATCAGTTAGCAAAACAGCACATGCAATATCTCTGGCTGAACGTATTCTTCCAGTGCTTCTTGCTTGGTCAGTAAGAGGATGGAGCGAAGGGTAAACTTCTAAAAAAGTCTGAAGATCATTTAAGAACATAAGACCAGAGGAAACGGAAGAGAAATTCACCAAGGTAAAAAAAAAAAAATAAAAATACAACACTTCATGCAGTTTCATTAGTGAAGTAATTTTTGCTACACATTTTGTTAGAATTGTAATCAAATAAAATCAGATAAAATTTCAGTGAAATTTCAGATTTAATAGCACTTCTATAACAAACTTTCTGCTAAACAAAATATTTAACTGAGTTCAGTAATCTAACATTAAGTATTTCTAAGTAAATCTCACAGTTCAGCAATAATGCATCACTGAGCTGCAGGCACACCTTCACTGCATTCATCAGCTGATGTATACCCAAATCCACGCATACACGTACGCCTAGTTTTGCAGCCCAGTGATAAACTCAGCTTTTTCTGTAATTAACTGAATCATTCCTCTGGATTTTTAAGACATATCAAATGTTTCTCAGCACTGTACGAAGCTGTCCTGCTCCAGAGAACTGAGCAGAAAGGCATCCATCCTTTCAACGCTTGTCTGAAGCTAAGGAAAGGCACAGGAAAATTACCAACATTCACATGCTGATATTAATCTTTATCTGAAGGATAACTCGACCTGAACGCAGATTCTTATCAATGAGACAGCAGATATGAGCTCACTCAAAATCAGCGGGCAAACTTTCGCACAGCAGTAGAAACACAGCTCGAATCCCAGGAATAAAATGCAATGAGTATATCTGCAGACTTTGCACTGCACTCTCATTACTAACACCACTGAGCAGAAAATGCCACCTGGTTATTCTAAATATCAGCGTGCGGTTTGCTTTTTTGGTTTCTGTTCTTGGGTCATCTTTTGGTTTCTTTTTTTGTTGTTTTTTTTTTATGGGGGGAGCGGGGAGGAGAGGGGGAAAAGGCAGGGGTGCAACTGGTTTGAAATGCAGTACCAAGTGAACTTGCATTTCAAAAAAGCTGACCAAAATTCAACTCAAGTTTCAGGCATCATTATTCAACATCAGATTTGGTTTTTATTTCATTTCAAATACCTACAGATTTCCTACAGTAATACTCCAAATTATTTGTTCTCTTTTCTTGGCAGATCTCTCAAAATAGATTCAAAGTACTAGTATTAGAAGTAGCTGAAAGTGGTCATGTCTTGATAGCATGCAAGATTCTCCTGCTCAAACGTCACATCTGCAGTTTACTTCATAGTTCATAACACCAAATCAAAACAAGACAGACAATACATTGAAATTAGACAATGATAAAGATCGTACTGAAAGAGGAATTTGATCACTTAAGGAATTTCAGGCCCTCACCACACCCTCTTATTTATTCAAATTTGCTAAAGAGGAAACAAGAAAAAAAATCCCAAGCCTCGGGGCATAACCTGAATGAAATGTTAGCAAACCTACCTACAACAGGAGAATCACTATTGAACACACCTTCCTCTTGTTTAACCAAAGATAAGAACTCAAGTCCCTCAGATTCTTTCTTCTCTCACAGGAAATTTTACAACACAACAGTCTACAAGACAAGATGATGCCAACTTCCCTAGGTCTTCAGTGACAAAACTGGAGTCTCCATTCAGGACACAGGCAGAAAGTAGAGCTCAGAGTGCTGTACAGTGTACTGTTTTATAGAGAATATCACTGAACAGATATAATTCTGTCACAGTTACTACCTGTAAATCTGACCTGCACCCAGCTCCTTCCAGATACTCCACCACCCCATAGCGCACACTCTTCAGGCTTTTCTGTGCCTTCCCTACCATAGGCAACTGCCTGCCTAGCTGGTCAGCTTAAGGATGTACATCATGTCCCAGCTGGTTTCTAAGGAGCAGCAATAATTTCGATCGATAGGCTGAGGGACCTGTTGGACTACATGTGGTGTCATTGTTTTTGCTGTCTACTCCACTGCAGCAAGAAATGTCATCAAAATGATTTTTTCCTATCACCAGAAATAAGAAATGGCACTCTGACTGGCGTGGCTCCCTTCCTACCCAACTCAAGCAGCAGGCTATGAAATTACCATACAAAACTCCCTCTCAGCATCCCTGTATGTTCAGCGTGGACACTGAAGACGAAACTTTGCACGATTAAAACCAAAAACACAGTGCTGATTTAAAACTAGTGAACACAAAGGGCCCCCACTCCCGCAACTACATCTGCTCCACAGGTACAGGAAAGGAGCAACGAAAAGCACGCATGCAGATTTGATTGTGCCACTATAACAAGAGTAGCCCAAAAACAATGACTGAGAAAGAAACTAGTACACCAGCTCTTTAGTGTATGAGAAAGATGTAATGGGGCTGCACTGCCAAAAAACCCCTGCAACTGATTCCTGTTATTTCCTTAACCTACAAATTGAGACATTCTCAAGAGATCAAGATTCAATTCAGAGTTTGATTTTGTAGAAAACAAAAAATGACAACCCTAAACCTCAACAACAAACCTGCTGTTCTTCCAGAAAACCACTCCCATACTTGAGTGATTTCATGTAAAAATCCACATGAAAACAGAGAGGAGAAAAAAGAAAAAAAGAAAATAAGAAAATAAGAAAAGTCCCGCCACCTTCCTACCTCACAGCAAACCTGAAACGAAAAACTCCCCCAAGTCCTGAAGTCTCAGAAGTCAGGCAGAAACCAAAAGAACAGACTTTTTAAAGAAAATTTTCCTAAGGCTTTCAGATGCTCTGCATGATTTGGGGAACTGACTCACGGGACTTTTATTCAACACATGAGGCTGGACCCAGAGATGCCACACTCCTGCAACACGGGCGTTTCCCCATCTACTGAAATTTAACCTAACATATAAACAAAGCACGTACCTGTACCAAAACGGATAACTCTTCACACTTAATAAGGAAACTATCTTAAGAAAAGTAACGATTACTATTTTTTGTACTAACTACAGCATAGCTCAAAGCTTCCTTAAAGCCAAATTGAAAAGGAAAAGAATAAAAGAAGTTTCTAAAACTATTCTGGAGCGCTTATTAGTAAAGGAGCCGACGTATTCCACTCTTACATCCCTTTTTTCCATCTTATTTTCCGCTAGACTGTACTACACGCGCCCAAAAAAGCCAGCAAGCAAGCCGTGCTCCTAGAAGTGCCCAGCCTCCGGGCTGAACGATAGCTGGGAACCGGGCTGTGCCTTCCCTCGAGCCTCAAGCTAGAGCCTCGGCAAAACGAGACGTAGAGAACCTACGGAAACCACCTGCGTTTGGCATTAAACCATTCATCCAAAAATGACTAAGTCTCACACGGCCGGGCCCGGCTTCATCCAGCACACGCTCAGCCCCGGCGAAGGGCCGTTCCCTCGCTCCTTTCAGCTAGGTGGGATCTTCCCTTGTGTGTTCGGCGGTAACCTCAGCTCGCCGCCCGCAGCACGTACACTCGCGGGGCCGCAGGTACGGCGCGCCCGCGGAACAGCGCCCGGCCCCGAGCCGCAGGCACGGTACGAGGCGAAAGAACCCGGCCGGCATCCCTCCGGAACCGGAGCGGCCCTGGGGCGCGGCGCGACCGAACGCCCCCGCCCGGAGCACGCGGCGCGCCAGGCGGGCAGCGAGCGGCCCGCTGCCGCCCCTCCGCCGGCCTGACAGCCCCGCGGCCCTCGGGTGGGGCGAGGCTCCGGGACATGGCGCCCGCGGGCCTCTCGCACCGGGCACTGACCTGTCCTCCGAGTCCATGCGGCTCAGCGGTTCCCCGTCCGAGGACATCTCCAGGCTGCCCCGCCGCCCCCCCGACGCGGCGCTGCAGCTGCTGCTGCCGCTGCTGCCGCCGCCGCCGCCGGTGCCGTAGCCCTCGTCGCCGCCGCTGGACACGCTGCTGGAGCTGCTCCCGCCGCCGCCGCCGCCGCCGCGGCCCAGCCCGCCCTCCTGGCCGCCCCGCGGGCCCTTGGGCTCCTCCTTGGCGTCGGCCTCGCTGCTGCCGCCGGGGCTGAGCGAGCGGGTCTCGTCGCTGCAGCAGCCGCTGCTCGTGCTGCTGCTGCCCACCAGGCTGCTCTCCTCCTCCTCGCCGCCCTCCTCCTCCTCCTCTTCCTCCTCCTCCTCGTCTTCGTCCTCCCCGTCCCCGGCCTGGCTGGCGCTCTCCGGGCTGGGCTCCGACATGCTCTCCGCCTCGCCGTTCAGCAGCAGCAGCGACTCCGTCTCCGCCGCTGAGGACGGAGGCGACGACGAGGAGCCGACCCCGGCGGCGGCGGCGGAGGCCGCCGCCTCCTCCTCTTCCTCAGCCGCGGCGGCCGCCGCCTCGCCGGGAAGAAGCCCCTCCGGCTCCGCCATGTCGCTGCGAGCGGCCGCCATGGCGCCTGCGAGTCTCTGCGAGCCGAGCCGAGCCGAATGGGGCCGAGCCGAGCCGAACGGGGCCGAGCCGAGCCGGGCGCGCGCAGTGGCGTGCGCGCGGCCGGTGCGCGCGTGGCCCGGTTTGTGTGTGCGCGCGGCCGCGCTCCCCCCGCCCTCGCCCTTCTCACCCGCACAATCGCGCGGCGGCGCGAGCCGCAAAGAGGAGGGGCCCGAACCTCCACCGCCGCACGCGCTACGGAAGGCGCCCGGGGACAAAAACCTGCGGGAAGGCGGAGCGCGCGAGTCTTGTGTGCTGAGCGTCACCGGCGGGCACGGGGCGCGGGGGGGGGGGGGTTGATGCCAGGCGGTCGTCATTCGCCGCCCCGCCTCTGACGCGAGACTCGCAGTCACAGGACGGCGTCGGGCTCGGGGGCGAAGAGAAAAACTGAGCGAAGTGTGGGGAAGGAAGGCTTCGGAGTTGGCTGGATAGGGAACGGCGTGCCTTCTCAAGGGAAGGGAAAAAGGCCCTTCAACAAGGAGAGTGTGTGACTCTGCCCTGTGAGAATCGCTAAGAGAGCTGGGCTGGGACACAAAGGGGACGGAAAGAGGTTTTCAGTGGCACTGGCAGAAAGAAGCAAAAGAATTGTCCTGCCATCCATCAGGAGATGGCCGCCTGTAGTGCGGCCTCACACCTCCGTTTGCCGTAAGAAGCTTCCAGGCTGCAGCGTGGCCGAGGCTGAATGCAAAATGCACATCACTGCCCGAAGTGGAAATAAAAACAGAGAGTTAAATGTGCTAAAACTAAGGCAATTGGTTAATATTTTCCACGCAAAGTCAGGCCGAGGGTTGGAAGAGTGAGGGCTGGTAAATTCGCTGAGTTGGGAATGTTGCCATGTGAAGTAAAATAGATGGAGAAGCGAGAAGGATGAGAGGAATGATCACCAATCACATACAAGACTTCAGAACAGACTTTGTCAATTAAAGTCATTTTAATATTAAAAAAAAGTAAAAGGGAGGGATGAAGTTTACTCAAGGCAGATCATGCCAGACATCACTTCTTTTTTTTTTGTTGTTTTGTTTTGTTTTCCTTGTCTGTATAGATGTCTGTGTGTATACATTTAGTGAATTGTCACATGGAAATGATCAAGAATCCGTATGGGATGGGGATTTTCGGTAGCATTCAGACACAGATGAAATTGGGTAATCTGGCTAATTTTTGGCGGTGGGAAGAGTACTACTATTTCATATGGATTTTAAATGGGGTATATAGATTATTCATGTTTTATCCAATTCTTACTGAACTTGACACGTTAAAAAATAAAAATTAGAAATCGTGAAGCGGAGACGGGTTAGCTTAAGAACAGATGACAAAACTGAACCACAGCTCAGGCCAGAAAGACTTTGTGCAACAGGAAGAGTACCACCTCCTCAAGTCGTAGCAGGCATATCTGGCATTGCCACAGAGAAACAGGAAAAGTTAGCCACAGAGGATTAAAATCAGGGGAGGGTGCTCATGAGCCCTACATCAGCACAAGCAGGGCTGACTGCCCGCCCATCCATCTGCATGCATATCTGTCCGCAGCAACACCAGCAGCCCTCTGCGCAATGCCAACACAGAATGCCACAGTGCTGCGGGAGCACCGCAGCCTTGGAGCAAAGGGATGTGACACTGCATTCATCTTTGAGAGCAAACAAATGACATCTTTAACCTGCAGAGGAGCGTAAGCAAATGCGTGAGACTAACAGCAGTGGGAACGCATGATAGTTTTCCAGATTTTCTCAAAACAAGCCTCAGCTAGACATTGGAAATGGCAAGAATATTTTGAAACAAATGAGGACGTGTGTAACGCTGCTTCACCTGCATAGTGTAAGAGTCGCTGCTCCACTGACTCCATCGGAACAATCTCCGAACCCAGAGCCTCTCGACACCCCACCTCCCCCCGAGTAACAGCGTGCTCTGTACTTCCCTCTCAGCCTACAGAGGTGTGGCTCTCCCGTGGGTGTTATTGTCACTAATCTCATCAGACACGAAGAGCGAGGTCTGGAAAAAAAAAAACAACAACCTTTCGATTCAGTCAGAAGGCAGCAGTGGCTGAAGCAATTGCTGTGCCTCTTCTACAACTGATTTCCCTCTGGAGTTCACTGAAATCAGCCGTGGCGATGGGAGGGACCGAATCACGAGAAAACAAAGATCTAAATGGAGTGAAGTGAAAGGCACCTTTCGCAACTGAGAACGAGCAAAGAAAGGAAGTAGGAAACATGTATCTCAAAGAACTCCGTGCACCCTCGTGTGTGTTATCCGAATTCATCCCACCGTGTTCACGAGCCCGTAGCTGTGTGCTTTTTTCAGAACTCTCGGGTTCTTTGAGGTCATGTGCGCTCACCGGGTTCCCAGTGTCTGTGCGCCGGGAGGTGACAGGGGGATGCAGACCTAACACTTCTCACTTCCTTAAGTACTGCAGTAGGGACGCCGGCTCGTTGGGTAATTTGTGTATTCGGAGAGAGGGAGTGAAACCTTAGGATAGGATGCATAGGAAGGAGGGTACGAACCCGCAATCACTTAGCGTTTAAAGCAGGAGATCAGTGCCGCAGCGGTGCAGCAGTCATCAAATAAATACCCTGACGATCTTTAGTGCCCTACTTTCAGTTCTTTGAAACCGCGAAATCCTGCATGAAGGCTTGGTCCGTGAGCTCCCTAAAGTGCTAAGATAAAGTCCGAATCAAGCAGAAGCAGCAGTGATGACTTAGCTCTCTTGTTACTGACATTCCTAGGTCACAGTTCAATCAGCTCAGAAAAGGTAATTCTCCTTTTTCTTTCTCGCAGGTTTTTGACTTTTTCATACCCTGGTTCCAGTCAAAAGATGAGATCTGTCTGAGAACAGGTGAGTCTTAAACTTGGTAGTGTCAAAATCAATTGCATTTGAACGGTCTGATAAAAGCCCAAAACAAGAGACACCCTGCTAGGAAATCCATTAGAAAAAAAATAACTTACACATTCAGTTACACTTCAAGGGAGGATGTTACTTTGTCCTTCACACAAAGGGCTCTGGTATGCTCAGTCTAATTTGAGATGATCATTACAACAGGGACAGTACTTTAGAGCTGATGTAGTTATGCTGAAACTTAATAATCCGTGGCACTTGGAAGACTTTCTCAACAAGGTACAGAGGAAAAGAGAAAAAACAAACAAACAGCAGGTTAGTGAAAGCTTGTTCGCAGGCAAAGAGCTGAAGTAGTGCTGTTCTCCAGTAGTAAGAGAACAAACAGCCCAGGCAATCTGGAGGAGATTTGAATTCCTTTGCAGACACAGACATAGCAGAGCATGGGGAAGAAATGAAGAGTGTAGTTTTCTTTGTCTTACCTCCGAACCACAGGGGTGCAGGGAATTCACACTGACAGCAGAATCAATAGTGAGCAGACTCCAAAGCAGTTTCTTCTTTTTCTGGAGACACAACAACTTTGTGTTTTGTTTTGCTATTTTAAAGAACAGTTGGATGAGATCGTCAGAAGATTTGGTACATGCAGTGCAGTCTGTTTGAGCTTTTCTTCCCAGTGTTGATCAGCATCATAACACTCTGAGGCATAGTACACAAGCAAAACAAACCAGTAAGAAAGGCCTACAAAGAAAGAAAAATATGTACCGTTGGCCTAAGATACAGGAAAAAAATGCCACCCTGCACTTGTTAGGATGGCATGGGAAGTTCTGTGAAACGACACGCTTGATCACTGCACTGTCCTGCTCCTGCCTCCACATGCATGTCTTTAACACTGCAGGAAATTCCTGCTGCCTGCACCTCATGACTCACCTTGCTCACAACATTCTGCCCGCTCAGCAGTCTCTGGAGACTGCACCCTCCCCTTCTCTCTGCCCCACCCTTCCTCATCCAAATTCCAGGTCTTGAGGAAGAAGCTGCAATCGCCCATTGCTTCAAGTAAGCATCCAGCGCTCATTTCTCACCCTTCCCTTCAGACCAGACTGAAACCGCCTTATTCTGCAATCCCAACCCCACCCTCTCCTACAGCACCCAGTTAATTCTCCCTTTAAACTCCCTTCCACGGTGTTTTCTTTTTAAAGCTTTAATCTTCCCCTGTGTTGTTTGCTTGAAAGCAGGCCCATGACCATAGGAAAATTCAAGCACTGTTTAGGTTGGTTCAGTCAAAGGAAGGCTGCCAGAAACGTGTATTAGCTGAAGTCCCTCTTCTGTCCCCGCTGGCCTGTGAGCTGTCTCTGGTGTTGAAAAACATTTGGCAATGTGGATTCCAGATATTGCTTGGGTCTGTCTGCCCCTTCTCCCCTCCCCAGATCTTGTTACAGCCCTCGTGGGGACACACTGCCCCTTCTGTTGTGCAGCACAGCTGGCTGGGAAACTCATGCCATGAGCTACAACAAGGAACTGATTTTAGTGGTAGCTAGGATAAAAAAATATATAATATAATGCCGTTCTGTTGATGTTGAGTCAGGAAAATTCAGAAAGCTTCAGACAGCTCTATTAAATGTAACAATGCACACTACAGGGATGGGGAAAAATGTATGTATTAAAATGCCAGCAGTTAGTTCAGGAGTGGAAAACCCCATTCTGTAGTTCTGGAACTTATCCAAAAGCATATCCTAATGTTCACTCTGTTTGCATTTGAGCTATTGTAACAACTTGCAAGATCAGAGCACCCATGTGCTGAGCCGTGTATGCACACAAACAGCAGGAGGAAGCCCATGCTGCATGTAGATACTCTGACACAAGTGGAAGGAACCAGATATTTTACAAACACATCTTCTTTAAAATACATTCTAATTGATGTCAAATTTGCTGCCACATGATACCAAAAGAAAATACAAAAGAAAAACAAAAGAAAAAAAGCATGAAGATGTGCTTTTGAGCACGAGGAATTGGAAGGCCTCATAATATGGTTCACTTATGTAGGTTACTGCTTGTTGCAAAAACTGAAACTGAAGCACAGAATTTCAAATAGACACTGTTTAGATAAGGTAAGCTAGCAGTTATTACAGACACAGCTGAGAACCAGCTCAGAACTTGCTGTAGAAGCAGAAATAACCACAGTGCTTCTGCCTTGGTACGTCCCCCTGAATGTTACTCCAGTCACCCTGTCTCCAAGTCATCATGAGTTCCACGGACTTTCTAAGTATGTATTTAAAAAAGTGTTTTTCTTTGACATTATTCAGAAAGGTGTTCACACTGGAAAATGTACACAGCTGATAAAATACATCATGGCAGTATCAAAAAATGAGGTACACAACACTGTAGAATAGCACAGAGAAT